CGTCAGCCTGCCACCGCCGCCTGGGTCAGCGGGCCGCCCGGGCAGCCGCCGGGTTTGTGACGCAGGCAGCTGTGGGCTTTTGACTTGTTACTTGCGCTGCCCCACGCTCGGGTACTGGCAGAGAAAGTTGAATCGAAGGAAATAAGAGATGCAGCTCGTTATACAGCTAGATTTCCATCTTTGGATCAGCTCGGGGCCTAAGTACCTTCTCTTTCAGGGTGTCTTGTTTTCTTAAACACAGAAGCCCATGAACTTCAAAGACAGGTTCTGGGCTCAAGCACTTTCTGGCTATTCTTAGCTCTCTTTCCCTGCAGCCAAGCCTCCTCCTTGGGAAGTGATAAAGTGAGTCGGGAGTGGTGGGGAGGAGAGAGTGGGCGTGTCAGATCCGGGCGCGATGAATCACCCAGCCCAGCCCAGAGCTGGAGAGATTATCCGCGGCATGCTTCACATTTTCTCCAAGTTGACCATTAAGCACAGCCCGTATACAACTGGATTTTTTTACAGCATGTAGATCAATTTGTGACACATCTGTAGGGCTTTTCCTTTAATCCTATGAAACAAAAGAGCCATGTTTTGATCTGTGAAAGTAGAGACGGGCCAGTTCTGTAGCTATCTGCCGATGCATTTGAAAAAGCAGTTTCGGTCTTGGGGTGTATGTGTGGGTGTGCGCGTGCGCACCGCCTGTGGGTAACCTCCAAAGGTGACATCAGCGCACAGTGTCAGGCAGTTTGCCAGGCTGTGCCTCCTGGGGACTGGTGCTGTGGGAGGGGTCCGTGTGGTGGGTTTGGAGGTCCTCTTTTCTGCCCCCTGACCACCTCTGGGCTCCTATTCAACCCAAACAAATCATCAGAGGAAGAACCCGGAGAGAACACTCCGGGTCTGCCTCCTATGAGGTAAAACCCCTCAGAAGCTGGAAGAGCAGAGGACATGAAGACAGTTAGAATCCTTAGGTGGCCATGGGCCCTGGAGACCATCGTGGAGACAGCTCGTTATTTCTACACTAGAGAATCATTACCTTGTGACTCGCATCTCTGCTGTCTGGGGATTTCCGTGTCCAAGGAGGAGCAGACAGAGGCCAGGACTGGGAAGTGTTGGGTGCAGGAGAATGAATCACCGGTGATGGAGAGACTCACAGTTCTTCACAGGTGGCCGCCTTCCGGGGTGAGGCCAGGTTCAAATCCACAGGACTAGATCCTGCCTGTAACCACCGACGGTTTCTGGCCCACAATAATGCTAGATTTTTGTGGGAAAACAAACTTCATAGGTAAATGAGAAATGGTCTGATTTTGGTAAACTTAATATGAAAAGAGGCAAAACCCCCATTATACGTAGTGGCACATCCCTATAATCCCAGATACTCAGGAGGCTGGGGCAGGAAGATCATAAGTTTCAGGCCAGCCTGGACAACTTAATAAGACCCTGTCTCAAAATAAAAAGGGCTGGGGTGTAGCTCAGTGATACAGCACATAGCATGCCCAAGGTCTTGGGTTATCCCATAGTACCCAAAAAAAAAAAAAAAAAAAAAATCTGAAATGATTTGATAAAAGTCTTATCTCTGAGGATAGGCTTTAGGTAATTTAATTTTCTTCTTTCTGCCCGCCTATCTTCTACTTAAAAAAATTGTTTTAACCAAAATTGTGTATTACCTATATGCCAAGGGAAAAGAAATATTTTTCCTTTCTAATTTTCTTCAAGGAAAGGAAAGTATTGGAGAAACATTGGAGTGAGGCGGTGGAGACAGTCTGGGGAGGATGAGATGGTGCTGAGGGAGACAGGAGAGAAGTGGGTTTTCAAGCTGAATCTGCAGTGCTAGGAGGGAGGTTGGTGAGGACTCAATGAACAGCTTTTGTCATTAGCTGGAGCTGAGATGGGTGGAGAGGAAAGGGGAGGCGGGTGGGGGAGTATCTTAGGTGCGGAGGAAGTAAGGACTTGGGGAACATATATGCATCTGCCCCCAGCACACAGCTCAGACTCTGGGGGCATCTGAAGGTCTGTCCCCACCAAAAGGCAGCATGGTGGATGGTGGGGAGACAGCCCTGGAAGCCAGACCCTGGGTTTTGAGCTGCGCTCTGCCACTCACTAGTTGCATGACAAAGTAAGCAAGTTACTTGGCCTCTTTTGGGCCTCAGTCTCTTAGTCTGCACACTGGGGATAATAATAGGCCCTGCCTCACACAGTTGCTATGAGAATAGGATGAAGTGAGTTAATGTTTATAAAGTAGTTGGCGTAGCAGTTGGCTTATAGTAAGCCCGTATGATCGTTTGTTTTTGTTTTTTGGTACCAGGGATCGAATTCGGGACCTTGTATTTGTGAGGCAGGCGGCGGAAACACTAAGCCTAAATCCCCAGCCCAAAGCCCATATGATTGAAAAGTAAAGATTAAAAACTAGGGCCCCTGAGGACCTGGAGTGTGCATTTAATTAGCGTTGGACATGTGTGTCTGGCAGTGTGCATATAGTTGTCAAATAAGTAGTTGTTTTTTTTTTTAACTCTACCATGAGTTAAATAGATCTCAGATGGTTTTATTTTCTACATGTACCAAAAAAGAAAGGGAAGAGAAACCAAACACCATACCTCATTTCAAGTTCCAAATAACAAAATTTGTTAAAAAAATTTTGGAGGTGATAGGAAACAGGGAGGTAGACTTTGTGGAGATGGAAAAGGGGATCTGGGGAGAGAGGAGCAGTAGGGCAGGGAGGGGAAGGGGAAGTAAAAATGATTACAGTGTGGTGTGTTTGTGTACCAGGTACCTAAGATGAATGTAATTATTACGTATTGCAAACGTATAGTAATGAAAAGAAATAAAAATTTTCTTTGATAGACACCTATTTCTTCAGATAGGCACTGTCGATATTTTTCAGAAATTCTGGGAACTACCGTGCCTTGTACCTGTACGTGGTGGCTGATGGGGGAAAGCATCGACCAAGAAACAAATAAAGGTTAGAAGCATTGTTCTAAGGCTCTGGCAGCGTGACAGGTGCAGGGAGGGGGCAAGCATTAAAACCCAGGCCAGCAAATGCATAAAGAAACTTAGTTTTGCATCTTGGGCCAAAGTTGATAAGATCCAAGGCTGGGGACTGCATTTTGCAGAAGGCCCTCCCAGTGGTCATGGGGCAGCCTCAGAGGGGACACAGGGAAGATGAATGGAGGAGTGGTATTTTTAGCATACATTGTTCTCTGAGTTCTAGAAACGGTCAGCAGAGATAAAAATGTGTTCCGACTCTTCCACGCTTTGTGCTGCTGTAGGATTTGTATCTAGAAATAGAACACAGTGTGTTTTCTTTGTCTGGTAATTAAATTTCTTGATGTTTCACCAGAGAGTGAGGAGTGACCCTCTATTTTGGGCCACCAACGTTTTATGACATCGTGTTTAAAGGAACAGGATAGGACCATTGCGGGAGGCAAATGTGAGGTCCAAGCAGGAACATTCTAGTTGCGATCAGGGTACAGGAGTAATAAAGGCAGCACAGCTTTTACTGTGTGGACTTAACATATCTTTTCTTCTTTAATCTTTTCAACAATCCAGAGTAGCTGTTACTATTGTTGCTCCCATTTTACAGATGAAAAGAACGAGACCAAAAGAGGTAATGAAACTTGATCACGGCCCAATTCTATGGTAAAATTAATCAAAATACTTTCCCTAAACCATGTTGTGTATAAATTTTCCTGGAGAAAACTCATGGAACATGTATGCCTTTTATTTTTAAATAAACTACAGTTCCAGCTTCTCATGCAAACTTGTGAAAAAGGACTATCCAAGTCCCTGGTTTACAAAAAGAGGCCTCTGATTCTGTAGGTACAGGACACTTAGGTGCCGTTTTGTGGTCCCCAGGAACATACAGAATGAAGTGGTGTCACAAAAGGCTGGCTCTCCTCAGCAGGAGGCAGAGGAGGCTTGATTCACTGCAATTAAGATAAAAATAAAGCTCGGCTAGTGGTTTTACTAAATAAAGAACTGGGTACCTGCTGACAATAATTAGTGTTGAGTTCAGCCTTTTGAAAAAGCCACCGGGACAACAAATGTATTAAGCTGTCTTGGAGGGCGAATTGAATGGCGATTATCGAACTGTGTGTGTAGGAGTATGTTCTCCACAGCCCTGTTCCCCCCAAAAATTAATGTATTATAGGACAGCAATGACAAGCTACCTTTTAGTAAGCTCTTAACATGTTTTCAGGAATAGCATCAGGCCCTTTACATGTATTTTTAAATTATCATTTCCGTCTAAAAAAAAAGCCCTCTGGGAGAGAGTATTATTTGTTCAGCTGGGGGACTGAGGTCCAGAGGAGTTAAGTGATTGTCCAAAGCCATGGAGTTTGCCTGTGGCACAGTTTAGAACTGATTCCCCCCCCCTTTTTTTTTGGTACCTGGGATCGAACTCAGGTCATCGTGCTTGTGAAGCAGGAGGTGAACCACTGAGCTAAATCCCCAGCCCCTTTTCTTTATTGCAGAATTTTTCAAATACATATACAGTACCAGAGATTTGTATAATGAAACCCAATATCCCAGTCACTTACCCTGTCTCTGGTATTTTAAAGCAGATCCCAGACAACCTATTATTTGGTCCATAAATTAAGTCCAAATGTAGTTTAAATGCTGCAACTAACATTTTGTGCCTTAAAGCCACTTCCGACCAGGGCAGTGACCCCCAGAGCACTCTGAGGAAAGCCACCCTCCTGTTGGTGGGGTCTGGTTTTGCTCCAGCGTGGGCTTTTCCGGTGTTCGTGGTGGTATCACCGCCCCTGTGTGACTGCTCCAGGCCAGGACAGGCGCTGTTACCAACCCTGCTGTGCAGCCCTGCGCTCCAGTGAGTCTCCAGGACCCAGTTCCCTTCCTAAAATAAAGGGTAAATGCTCTTAAGGATCCCAACCATTTAACAGCAGAAGCTCCAGGCTGGGCGTGGTGGCGCATACCTCTAATCCCAGCACTTGGGAGGCTGAGGCAGGAGGATCTGTGAGTTCGCGAGTTCCAGGTCAGTCTCAACTACATAGTGAGACCCTGTCTCAAAAAACAAAAAACAAAAAAAACAAAACCCAACGATAAACAGCGGAAGTTCATTATGTTCCAGCAATACCAGGAAAAGAAAAGCTTTGAAGGAAGAAGTGAGAAAATGCTCCTCCCGCACCTTGAGGTTGCTGCTTCCATCCTGAAAGCCTCTGGGAGCAGAATGGGGCGGCATTGGGGTTTGAGTTTACAGTTCAGGTCTGAGTGCCTCGGTTTGCGGGGGCGGGGCATCACACTGACTCCAGGGCCGGAGAAACTGTTTTCAGGAAATGAATTGGGAGAGTTGGGAACCACTTCCCCCCAACTTAAAATTCCTCTTGTAATCTCTGTAGTTTACAATTTGGGAGTGTAGAAAGCTCGGGATATACAAACAGAAACTTTCTCTTGTCTTTAATTTACTGTATGGCTCTAGGTGGGTCACTGAACCTCTCTGAGCTTCTGTTTTTTAACCTGTTCATTTAGTAAATACTGAGTGCTTCTTACTGTGTGTGCTGCGGCCTTGGCACTGAAGAAGGTGGTGTCTGCGCCCATGATTTGTAAGTAACTTCAGGAATCATTATTGGTGCTCTACTTGATGAAATGCAGGTGCCTATGGAGAGAAATTGTTTGGATGATTATCTGCTGTGCTCGTGACTGATTCTTAGCTATTTAGCACTTTGACAGGGAGAGAAAGGGAATAGGACGCAGCCTCTCGGACCACGAAGACAAATTGAGTCCAAGGCTAGATCTGAGGAGGGTGACTGAGTGCAATAAATGTTGTAAAGTTCAGCCCTAAGCGAGCCCTGTTCCTAACATAACACCAGATAATCTCAGGTAAACAGGGCCCCTTCTAAACAGCAAAAGCACCAAGTCAAAGTTCACACCTGCTCAGCACCCATTTCCAGCAATCTCTATTAATGTGACCTTTTTTGACAGGGAATTGCTATACAGTTCCAGCTGACCTTGAGCCCACTGTGGAGGCCTCAGTATCCTCCTGCCTCAGCCTCCTGAGTGCTGGGTTTACAGGAGTGTGCCACCATGTCTGGCTTTCATGTGATTCTTGCACTGGGCCTGGAAGTTCTCTAATAATTAACTCTCATTAATTGCTGCCAAACTTGCAGCTCACTTGCAGTATCTACACATCTTCATAAGCTACGAGACCATTATCTGGTGTTTTCATTCAGTTCCTGTTCCTTTAGTACCGTTAGTCTGATTTCTATGTTTCTGTCCAGTTGTATTTGTATTCTTTTGCACTTTTGAGGCTGGAAATACAGTAAAAAATGAAATAAAGTGAAGAAGGGATTTTTATAGACCCAACTGGGAGTTTTAGGGCTATTAAACAGACTACGTGTTATGCCGTTCGCTGTTAAGCACTGTGATATAACGGACAGATTACGGGCCTGTGAAGGGCTGGCTCGTTTTCAGTAGTACAAGTACCAGACCCAGGGCCACTAAGGTAACGCAGAGACCCTTAAAGCAGCGTGGAGCAAGCCATCCTGCACTGTTGTCCCAGCATAATCACAGCGGACACCTCGGGATGGCTGCTCCGCGGCACACGCCGTTGGAGATGGATGTACTGCAGTCTTCACCGTCCATCATGAGGTCCCAGCTTCAGTGAAGTACAGTGTGGTCCTCCTCCACTAGATAGTTGCCTTTGTTTAGTTTTGTTGACTCAGGAAACGAGGCCTTGGGGCTTTCCTGAGGACTTTGGCTTTGATTCTCCGGGTGGTAAAGGTTTTGGGAGGAGGCTTTGATCTGATTGGGACGGTCTTTTGAGAAGGTCAAAGGCTGAGGGAGTGGCCTGCTGAGGGCAGGGTCTGGGGATGCTGTAGAGTTCATTTCAGGTCAGTCATCACTAAAAAGACCTCGTGCCCTAATTCTGACTTGCTGTCATTGCTGGTGAAACCAGGCCGTGTATGATTTTTCTCTGGATTCAATGGAGAAAGGGAGGAAATGTGATGCACTAATTACCCATTACAATATCACTGCAAGTTTGGAGTCTGAAAAGGCACACATTGATCACTGGGCACTTTTTGCTAGGCAGGGTCTGACATGGTTCCCCTGGGTCCTCTCTCTCAGGGCCTCACAAGGCTGAAATCGAGGTTGGCGAGGACTGGAGTCTCATCTAAGGTTTGACTGGAGAAGGTTGTTGGCAGCATTCAGTACCTATGGTGGTAGAACTCTGAGGGCTTTGGTGTCTTATTTGCTTTGGCCTCTCCAGCCCCCTTTAGCTTGGAGGGCAGCCTTGGACTCCTTGCCACATGTGCCTCCCAACATGGCCTCTTATCTCCTTAGTTTAATTTAATTTTAATTAATTTTATTTATTTATTTATGTATTTTTGGGTACGAGGATTAAACTCGGCAGCTTGCATTTGTGAGGAAGGCTGCAGAACCACTGAGCTAAGTCCCTGGCCCTATCTCCTGAATTTTAGCAAAGGAGATGGGTGCAAGACCCATCTTATATAATAGAACAATATGTGCATAATCCTGTACATTCTGTCACCTTGCCATATTCTGTGTGACTAGAGAAGAAACAAAGTGTAAATACCAAAGGCATGGATCGTAGGGGACACCCGCCATATGCAATGTGGAGGTGGTGGAGGCAGATGAGAGAAACACAGCCTGCAGGAAACCCAGGAACAATCTTCCTGTGATCCTGGGAAATTGACCCAGAGCCCTTCCTCCAGCCCCTGAATCCTACATGACTTTTTAGCCTTGTTACAAGGTTGAGGCAAAACCTGTTTCATTATTTGTTGACTAGAATCCTGGGTGTAGCAGCAGTGAGAACTGGATTTATCTTCCTTTTCCTTTTCCTTTTTTTTTTTTTTTTGTTTGTTTGTTTGTTTGCTTGCCTGGAAGATTTTGTTCCTTTTATTTGTTTTTAATTAGTTATTTGTGAAAAATTAATAGACAGGCAGGATTAGATAACATGCGTAGAAGTTTTCAGGTAGCAATTTTTAGCATTCTGTTTATTGATTTAGTGGTAACCCAGAAGAAATGAAACTTAATAGTTCTTAGTAAAACCAATCCTGGCACCATGTTAGATCTGCCATGAGCATATCTCTCTGTCTAGTTTCCTTGCCTTCCGATCCAAGGTGCAGTATCCATACTAACAAGATATTTCAAAGGGGACTGTTCACGGCTTATGTGTAGATGTCCTCCAAAGCCTTATACAGTCATAGGTGGGGTGTTTTCAGAGATCTAGAGTGTGTAGCCCTGGGCACTAGGATTAAGGGTGTGAGTGCCACCCACCCTAAGTGGCCTGAATAAAATATAAGGGATCGAAATACCCATGAATCCCTTGTTGCTTTGTTGCCTTCTGCTTGCCATGAACTGTTTCTCCTCTGCAATACCACCCTGCCTTGGAGCCAGCCGATTATGGACTGAAACCTCTGTATGCTGTGAGCGAAATAAACTTTCCTCCCTTAACTTTGGATGTCAGGTATTTTGTCAAAGCAATAGGAAAAGTAAGGAAGATAGGAACTAATCATTTTTTAAAAACACGAACTTGAAATTTGGTACCATAGAAATTGACTGGCAGTTCTAAATTGTGATGTTTCTGGACAGCGAGTCGAAAGGTGGACGTCGTTGTGTTCAGACAGTTTGGCAATGGTGCGGCTGAGTTACAGAAGTGTTGTAAAAGTCCAAAGGCCACGCAGCTTCGAGTTGGGGTTCTGCCTGGCCCTGTGTCCTGTGACTCACTGTCCCACCAGGAATTATGGAACCCGGGGCCCACCCCTCCCTCGAATTGCCATCCGTGTGTTGTTATTTCTGAAACTAGTGCAGTTTTCTAGAAATCACAAGAGACAGAATTTAAAG